CGACATCTGCACAGGCAGTCATCCCGGTGTTAGACAAGATCTTCGCCATGTTTAGTACCCCTGAAGTACTGAAGACGGACAACGGCCCTCCATGGACGAGTACTCAGATGAAGTCATTTGCTGACTACCTTGGATTCCACCATGCGCCAATGGAACCGCCGAAAGGTTTATGAGAGTACTGGGGAAAACAGTAAAGGCAGCGGTGGCGAAGGAAAATCATGGAAACAAGAATTGCACAAGATGCTACAAAGTTATCGTGCAACTCCTCACACAACTACAAACCACCCTCCTGCAACACCCTCCTCCAGCGAGCCATGAAAACCAGGCTACCAGAGCTGACACTGAAACAACCAGAAGTCAACAAGGAAGCAAAACAGAATGATCAGAAAGCAAAGATGGAGATGAAGAAGTACACAGAAAGAGAAGAGCGAAGGAAAACAACATCGACATAGGAGATACCGTCCTAGTGTCACAGAGAAAACAGAACAAGGGGTCATGTTCTAAAATACTACATTCCTCCCCTACTGGATTTGAAATCCATCCGTCGAATGGAGGATGGTCGAATCCCCAAAGACCTTCTCTACGGAGAACTGATCTCAGGAAAGAGAAGCACCGGGCGGCCACAGCTGCGGTTCAAAGATGTTTGTAAGAGAGACTTGAAGGCTCTAGATATCAATACAGAGCACTGGGAGGACCTTGCTGATGACCGCGCTAGATGGAGATGCACACTGTCCAGGCAGCTGAATACAGGAGAAGCCAGACTGATGCGCAATGCAGATGAAAGGCGAATCCGTAGCAAAGACAGCTCCAATAGAACTGAGTCAGCCTATAAGTGTGAGAACTGCGGCAGAGACTGCCATTCACGAATAGGACTGTTTAGTCATAGTAGATACTGTAGATAGGAGATGTTAAGTAGGATTTACCATGGTCAGTATTGACCGACGGAGGCCATATATAGGGGGAATGTCTTTAAATTAGAAGATGTAGACTTCTTAGATGAAATCTGTGATTTCGATTTCTTTTCGCTACTTGAAACGTGGACCAAAGAAAATTATAGCTACTTCCATCTGCACAGAACAAAAAATAAGCGAGCAAAACGCTCTTCGGGGGGAATAATATTTTTCTACAAAAACGAATTCAAAAATTACATCAAGAAAGTAACTTCTAAATCGACGGATTTTCTCTGGGTGCAAATAGATCGTACCTTGTTAGGACTCCCAAAAGATTTATTTATTTGTTATTTAGAAACGTTAAGAAACATGTATTAGAAATTCTAGAAGAGGAAATTTGTAAATACAGTACAGAAGGATTCATACTACTAGGGGGAGATTTGAATTCACGCATTGGTAATCTCCGTGATTATGTAGATGATGAAATTAACAAGGACAGCTTTGCCGACACTCCCTCGAACTACGTTAGCAACAGAAAATTTGTTGACAAAGCGCCCCCAACAAGTTCGGCCGTCTTCTAACCGATCTGTGCATTCAGGCAGACATCAGAATACTGAACGGCAGGGTCCCTGATGACTTGCAGTGAGATGACGTGAATTTTATGAGCAGTAAACCGAGAATAAAGGGCATACCCAAGAAGGTCATATAGCCTCCTTAAAATAACTGAGATTGGCGGGGGGGGGGGGTGCCAATACATCGTCTGGGATGATTAGATGTCAAAGTGGTTAGATCAGACGATTTATGGTGGGCTTAGGAAGAATAAATGTGATAGAAGCTAATGTCCATCAAAGGATAATCACATGCTTTCTAATTTAGATATTTTATTTGTAACATACGATATGGAATTATTAGAATGTCCATGTGTTGTGTTGCCAGACCCTATCAATTCTATCGGTTTTATTAAACTATCAGTAAAAAAAAAAGATAGTGAACGTTGTAAAAAGGACAATGTTAACTAAGTTGTATTAACTTATTTATATAGTCTACTTTTTCTGTTTCAGACTGACAACGTCCTGTTAAAGAGAGGAGCTGAAGGTCATCTCGCGATCAAGTTAATAGACTTTGGAAACGCGTGCTGGGAGTACTACCCGTGCTCTTTCGATGTGAGGGAGGAGATGTCCAGCCACATAGCCCCAGAAGTGGCGAAGGGGCCCGTAAGCACCAGGTCAGACATCTACAGTCTGGGGAAGTTACTAGTAATCAAAGATGTTTGCTACAGCCGGAGACCGGTTAAGAAAGCCCTTGTTAAAATTGTACAGATCTGCACCAAGCGGGAACCAGGTGAAATAATGTCCTTCTCCACTCTCATTGAGGAGTTGGGGAAAGTGTGAAGCTCAAAGTTTATTCTGTATGAGGGCTTTAGTTGGTCAGCCTTCCCAAGTTGGACCATGTGCTTGTGCGCTGCTACAAAGCACTTCTTATTCTTATTCAAAATACCAACATAGAAGTACGGGAAGCTTAAGAAGGCGAACTCATCCCTGGAGCCGCCAACACTTCCCGGCCTGCCGAACCCTGCCGACACGAAGAATCACGTCCTCACCGCTGCGGCCAACAGGGAGGTGGAGTAGGCGGTGAAAGAAGCCAACAACCGCAAGAGGAAACGTGGCACTTACGATCCAGAGACCCGGGCGAAGATTGCAAAGCTGTGCATCGAGATCGGCCCCCAGAAGACTGCTGCGAAGATGTCGAAGGAATTCGGCTAACAGCTGAACGAGTCGACAGTCCGCTCCGTCAAGAAAAGCTACGAGAGGGAATGGAAGAAGCAGGGCAACAACAACATCACCAGCTTCCCGAGGAAGAACGTAGGCAATCCGCTGAAGTTGGGTAACCTGGAAGCCGAACTGCAGAAGTTCATGAGAAACACCCGGTAGAACGGAGGCGTGGTCAACCGTACTTTGGTGTTTTTTTTTTTTGGCAGGGGGACCGTATGCCAACCGTGGTGCTGACGCTGCCAACTGTGGTGCGGACGCTGACAACCGTGGCGCGGACGGCACGGGTGCAGACGCTGACAACCATGGTCTTCTCCCAGAGTTCGGCGGCCCGATAGGCATCTCGCTTCCCTGTGCCAACTCGTTCCTGAACCGCTTGAACTTTGTGCAGAGGAAGGGGCAAAAGCCGCCAGGAAGCTGTCGGTGGACTTCGAAGCAAGCAAAGTCGGCTTCCATACAAGGATGCAGGAGGCGGTGCGGGAACACGACATTTGCCCCAAATTTATCATCCCATCTTTCGGGTCTGTCTTTAACTTTGTGTGATAAGTGCAAGATACTCAAAATTGGTTCTTTAAAATACACGAATTTTTAACTGCCTTCCCATCTACCTATTCAATGGGTAGATGGGGAGGCATACATACTAGTATACCTAAGGATTTGGACTATATTATTAACTGCACTTTGAACTTGTAAAATTGGATAGATTATTATTCCCCTGGAAAGGAAAAAGTTTATCTTTGTTTGTAAAAATTACTGTCATAAATTGCTTGATTGTTTCTCAGTTCACTTATCTTTTCGAGGTGCTCCCCACCCCAAGTAAATCCCTTTTTTTAAATCTATGAGAGAAAAATGTTTTCCTTTATTTGGAATGGGGGACCAGAAAGGGTCAGCAGGAAAACAATTTATAACTCAATTGAAAATGTAGCCTGACTGAACCTCACTTTTCGCCGGCTACCTAGTAGTCCGCCACCCAAAAGCTTGATGGCAACTTCCTCTACAATTTATCCCAATTTTACTAAACTTACAGACCAAGAAAAAAACTATTCTTCTTTTAACTTCCCAAAACCCACTAATTTTAGAAAAGGTGGGACATTACGTCTTCCATAGTCAAACCCCTTAGATAGACATAGTTTTAGACATAGCTATAGCTCTAGACAACTACCTTTTATCATGTAGATTTTAGTTATTTTATACTACGTTTCATTGCTCTTTTATGTTTGTAATCTGCAATTAGCCCCCCGGGCATGAATTTGCAATAAACTTCCTTTATATATATATATATATATATATAGGTAAGGCGAATTCCTCAACAAGGACTTGGCTTTCCGATATATTTCCCTACACAGCGCTGCTGACCCCACGCCTCTCAGCGTCAATATTACACAACAAAACAGTCAACGTCCACGGTATTCCAGGGCGAAACATCCCCAAAGATCTGCATATGGAATTCCTCAACAAGAAAGCAAAAGACGGACTGTCCCGGCTGGGGCCTAACATGACTGACAGGACTGTTGAAAGGGAAGGGCGGAGTCTATGTGTCCTCCATAACCTACTCACGTCGTTTGATGAGGATGTGTCCCAGAAAACGCACGGCAGCACAGAAGGCGGCCAGCTTGGAGCTCATGTTGGGACAGATAGCTAACTTCTGCCCCATCATCTCCCGCAACCGTATAGTCAAGGCGAGTAC